AGAGAAGGAATTTGGTCTCTTCTTCTCATGTCCAGGCTGCAGATCCGAGTGCTCAAGCCCTGGACACTCCAAGGGAAAGACTGGGCTTTTAGCTGTAGAGGCTTCTGCCCATGGCTGTTGGACCTTATTGCATTGGGTCTGTGGCCACACACTACATCTTGGTGGAAACACATTCCTGAGGAGGCCTGCTCACCTCCTGACAGCTGGGACACAAGAGACAGAGGGAGAACTGAAGGTCCCGAATACCCTGTGGGTTCATATGTGGAATACCTCCCAAAGGCTTGCTTCGAAGGCCTGGTCCCCAGCTGGCGGCATTACTGGGAGATGCTGGGAACTTTAGGAGACATGGCCTCGTTGAAAGAAGTAGGCTGCTGGGATGCCTTTAAAGGGTACATTATTATGATCCTTGATCCTAGCTGTACTTTCTCATTTCCAAGATGTGGGTAGCCTTCTTCTGTCCTGCCCTTTGGTTAAGTTTCTGTCTTGCCAGAGGCCTAAAGAAGAGGAGGAAGTCAACTATGAAGTGACATCTTTGAAACTGTGAGTCAAAATCAACGTTCCTTCATTTTTCTTATTTTCTCAGGTGTTTTGTCACAGTTACAGAAACCTGACTAATAAATTTCTCCCGTGACTTATTAACCTCATCCCAGCAAACCCTACCCACTAAAGATTCCCTCAGCTTCCACTAGTACCACAGCCTGATGACCAAGCCTGTAATACATGAACTTTTAGGGGACCTTTATCCAAACTATAGTAACTAATTTGTACCCTCCAAAATATGTACAACTAAAATTTGTCAGTGTATAATGTATCCAAGACCTATATATTCAACGTGATGGCTGATAGCTTTAGCAAAGTCACGTAAGCCCTTAAATATGTCCTCACTGGCAAAATAACTTCTCAAGGTTGTGAGGATTAGAAATAATGATATAAAGAACCTGACGCTTGGTGAGTGTTAAATAAGAACTTATCTTACGAACTTATCCCCTTTTTCGTATTAGTTTTTGTTTGTTTGTTTTGGTTCTTTTTTTTTAATTTAATTTTTTTATTTTTATTTTGCAATACAATTCAGTTCTACATATCAGCCACGGATTCCCTTGTTCTCCCCCCACCACCCCCTCCCCTTCCCCCTAGCCCACCCCACATTCCCACCTCCTCCAGGGCAAAGCCTCCCCCGCGGACTGAGATCAACCTGGTAGACTCAGTCCAGGTAGGTCTAGTCCCCTCCTCCCAGGCCGAGCCAAGCGACCCTGCATAGGCCCCAGGTTTCAAACAGCCAACTCATGCAATGAGCACAGGTCCCGGTCCCACTGCCTGGATGCCTCCCAAACAGATCAAGCCAATCAACTGTCTCACCCATTCAGAGGGCCTGATCCAGTTGGTGACCCCTCAGCCATTGGTTCATAGTTCATGTGTTTCCATTCGTTTGGCTATTTGTCCCTGTGCTTTCGGGAGATCCCAGCTGGATCAACAACACAGAGGGAGAACAAGAAATAGGAGACCATGGTAAATGAAGACCACATGAGAATAGGAAGAAGCAAAGTGCTAGAGAGGCCCACAGAAATCCACAAAGATACCCCCACAACAGACTGCTGGCAATGGTCGAGATACAGCCTAAACTGACCTACTCTGGTGATGGGATGGCCAAACACCCTAATTGTCATGCTAGAAACCCCATCCAACTACTGAGGGATCTGGATGCAGAGATCCATGGCTAGGCCCCAGGTGGATCTCTGGGAGTCCAATTAGCGAGAATGAGGAGGGTTTATATGAGCAAGAATTGTTGAGACCAAGGTTGTTTGTTTTGGTTCTTATTTGTTGCTTGTTTGTTAGTTTTTTTTCCTGCAGGTTTTCTGTTGTTGTTGGTAAACCTCCTGAAATTGTGATTGACAGGGGCAGGAATACAAATGTACAAATGACATCTAAGAATCTGAGCTGGCCACTTTGTATAGTGGATGAGAGCGTAGGTGGCTGAGGTCGCTGTAAGTCCCTTGGTATATTTGTGTCAGGGCCGATGCTTTTCCCTAATGAGTACCCCCGGAGTACTCAGACAGGCCCATGTTGGAATGTAACGTCCACCTGACACGTACTTTCGGCTTCACAGACTTCCTGATCTTTGCTGTGAACTGCACTGTAGTTGAAGATCTTTCCTCTAATCCAGCCTCCCTTCCTTTGTTTCTCCCTGGGATTGGGACAGCACTGAGGTCTCACCACGTTTCCAGGCTATTCTATACCAGCCCCTCCTCATATTCTCTTGCAAGTGTTTTCTATGCTGAGTTTCCTTTTCTTTGGATATCATCGTAGGCATCTGCATCTCTGAGACTCTGAAAGGTGGTGATTGGCGCCTCTCTCCCAGAGAACAGCCTCCGACTGTGGTCTTCACCCTGCTGTCCGTGTTCCCTGTACTTGTTCTGTGATGGCCCACACGTGCAGGGAGTGGCTCAGCACTCTCTTCTCATTCTTTCTTGGAGTTAATGGTCACATCTAGAAAAGGAGCTGGCTCACACAAGGTAGCTTCTAATTTGGGTCTTGAGGTAACCTAGGCAGAAAGAAGCTCCCTGAGGATGTCCCTGGTGGTCGGGAGGTGGGCTGAGACATTTAGAAGTTTTGATACGAGTGTTTATAGTTAATCTTTCTTTTCTTGAAACCAAATGCCTCCCATCAAGGAGCATTCCTCCTTGACAGAATTGCCTTTTAACGCAAATTCTTCACCGTTCACCTTTTCTGCCTTAATCAATAAGATACCGAGAGCAAATAGCTTGACACCCGTTAGATAAATCAGTGTGAAAACATTGTTGAGCTTACTGGTGGGCCTCCAAGTCTGCTCAGGGAGCTGAAGCTAATTGAAACTATTTTAAGAGCCCATGAATTTGGGACAGTTTTGTGCCACCAGCCTTGACTGAGACATCCGTTCTTTTGAGTCTTTCCGTCTTACTTGAACGTGACTTGCAATGTACTCACACTCAGCTGGTATCTTCTACTGGTTTCTAGATAAGCGCCTCAGTCATGACCATGGTTCAGGGAAGGAAGGGCTTTCAGCTGGAGTGGAACTCCGAAGGGAAGGGGAGGGCTCAGAGAAAGCTCCTGAAGGACCTTGTAGGAAACCCAAGGCGTCTATCAGCCAGGAACAGGGATACAACATGGGCCAACAGCTCAGCCTGCAGGTACAGGTTCCTGATAGATAGGAAAAGGTCGAGTCTAAACACAATGGTCCCCAAGCTTGTGAAGGTCACTGCTGTGGCTCTGATTAGCATTTGACCTGAAGTGCCCAACCCACTTCCTGGCTCATGTTTTGAATACTTGCTGTCCAGTCCCTAATGGTGATGCTATTTTGGGAAGCTGTGGAATCAGTGGGAGGTAGGACCCGACTAGATGGAAGATGAGGTCACTAAGGAAGATTCCTGGGGATGTATTATTATTCCTGGCCTCTCGGTTAGCCATGACATGAAGAACCCTCCTGTCATACATTCCCACCACCATGATGTCCTGTTCGAGCACATGGAACCAAGCAACCATGGACGGAACCCTCTGAAACTGTGAGCCAGATGAAACTCTTCCATCCTTAAGTTGTTTCCATAGCAACACAGAGGCAGACGATGCAAGTGCCACTCCCTAAGAAGGAAGGGCATGGCCAGAAAAGCGCAGCAGAGACACCAGTGGGGACAGAAGAACCAGGAAGCTGGTGATCGACAGAAGACTGGCTGAAGAAGAGCAAGGCAGAAGGCCAGGTAGTAGAAATGCATTCTGAGGCCTGAGTGGCTGGGACAGCTATGGGACAGTATTCAAGGAAAACCGGTTCATCCTCTTGAGGAGGGAGAGTAGATCAGTGTCAAACTGCAGGGTTTGTGCAGTGACAGATTCCTAAGACCTATAGAATGACATGGGGGTGGGAAGAAGGGAAGGAAGGAGTTAGGGAAGGACGTTAGAAAATGCTCAAAAGGATGTGCTGAAAGCAAAACATTGCCATTAAAAAGAAAACAAAAAACAAAAACAAACAAACAAACAAAACCAGCAAAGAAGCCCAATGCCTTTTTGGCCCCCAACATCTCACCATCAAAAATGTCACTTCAGATACGGGTTTCTTCCTTTCAGCTCTCCAGCCCTTTGAGCCTATTTAGGGATGGTTCTGGCACAGGGAATATGGAGGCTAATGTGCACACAGAGGAATCATGGCTGGTGTTTCTCTGCACTTAATTTGGTTCTATGCAACCTGGTGGTTTAGTCTCTCAGTTGGATTGTGCTAGGTTCTTTCATGTCCCGAGACCAATGACCACCTAATGCCACTTCAAACATGGAGTTTCCATTGACATCTCAGTGATAAAAGGAGCACCATTCTTAGGAGATTTGTGAGTGGAAGACTCACTGACTGTACTGGCTGGGTTTGTGTATCAACTTGGCATAAGCTAGAGTCATCAGAGAGGAAGGAGCCTCAGCTGAGGAAAGGCCTGTAAGGCATTTTCTCAATTAGAGATCACTAGGGGAGGGCCCAGCCCATGGTAAGTGGCGCCATCTCTGGACTGGTGGCCCTGGATTCTATAGGAAAGCAAGCTGAACAAGCCAGTGCAAGCAAGTCAGTAAGCACTTCCCCTCCATGGCCTCTGCATCAGCTCCTGCCTCCAGGTTCCTGGCCCGCTTCAGTTCCTGTCCTGACTTCTATCAATAATAATCAGCAGTATGGAAGTGTAAGCTAAATAAACCCTTTTCTCCCCAACTTGCTTTTTTTTTTTTTTAAGTTAGGGTTTAGAAGCCCTAACTTAAGACACTGACTGTTGTGTGCCATCAAAGTAGTAAGCTGGTCTTTTGTCTTTCCAGAGTACATCCCTGTTCCCCTTTTTTTTTTTTTTTTTTTTTTTTTTTTTTTTTTGGTTTTTCGAGACCCTGTTCCCCTTTAATAAAGAAGTCAGAAGCATTTCCCTTTGTTCTCAACAGCTCCTGCTACTACAACTACCATGATGCTCTGGGCTTTATGGCTCCATCCATGCTCCACCCCCATTGGCCACTCTGCCTTTCCCTGCAGGAGCCTCCAGGTGTTCAGGCTCTGCTCCTACAATGACACCCCACTGTCATGCCTTTGCAAACTCTTTCTCCTTTCTGAAAACTTCAATATTAGCTGCTCATTTGCTTAATTACCCCTGTTGCTGATACTCACAAAAAGACTGAAGATGTAACAGATGGTGCCTGGGGATGAATGGATGTTACCGAGGCAAAGCTGTCAACATACCTATCTCCAGCCCATTTTAACGTGCACATTATGTCCCCCTGTGGACTGTTGGCAAGGAGGTAAGCTGATGCGTGCTGCAGGCGCCCGGATGCACATTGAGCTTAGTAATGCTTTTTCTCCCTCCCATGATTCTCCCCCATATTTGGCTTCCCAGGGCTTTTATAATGATCTCTGTTGCATCTTTAAAAACTATTCCACCTCATTTAAAATGTGGCATAAATGATGTGGTTTTGACAAATTAAGTAATAATAAGAAAACATTTTCAATATTCTGTATTTTTCCATTAAGCTCCAAAAAATAGTGATTATATGAACGCCATTTTCTCTCCACAGTTAACGATGTGTTGGGCCTGGTTTCATTAAAAACCTCATTATTCAAAGATTTATAACTCAGCCCAAGAAATCTCTTTTGAAGTTGTAAACAGATTTGAGCTCAGTTTTGAAGCTCACATTTAAAGTCTGTCGGAGGGGTTTGAATAGCCAGTGAGGGCACCTGTAATAGAGGAATACATTGGAGTGATAAAATGTTGGGCCAAAATCAATATAATGAAACCACACAGACCCTGTGGGAGTCTGCCAGAGTCCAGCTCCAACCTGCTCCCACTTATCAAAGGGTTCTTGGGTGGAGGAGGGAGGAATGAGGAAATATTAGACAGAAAGATAAAAAGAGACGATAAGAAAGACAGACACAGGATAGCTTCGGGAGGGCCCTGTATCAATACCCACCCACCCAGAGCTTTATTCAAAAGGGCTTTTTATAATATGCCAAGGGGAGAGGCAAAAGACCTCCCCCTTGCTAGATGAAAGCACACCATACAGCCAAGTATAGACCCTTCCAAACACCTAGTAAGCATGCCCGTCGCCAAATCACCCCCTTACACAGCCCTGCTGGGCAAAGCAAGCTCAGATTCTCTGACCCTGAGTAAGGTCTCTGTGGGCCACCACAAGACCCAAAGGACAAAGGGTTAGGAAATAGAAAGAACAGATATTTGGAAGTTAGTCATGGCTTTGTCATGGCTCTGGTTCCAGATAGCTGCTTGAGTTTGAGTAATTCATATAAAGAAGGGTGGGGCACAGGACATCTGGGCTACTCCTAGGCTTTAAAGATAGCGATTGATTATAAGCATGGATGTAATTCCCTATTATTAGGAAGTAGGGACCATTAAAGCATAGCTGGTTCTGGGGCTGGTGTAATATAGGTAAGCATAGACAGCTGTGCACTACCCCCAAACTGAAGGAATGCACATAATATGGCCTGTGGAGAGGATGCCAGAGTCAGCTTGAAGTACTGTCACTGGCCAAAGAGAGGACAGTCTAGCAGAGAGGGGGTGGGACTCATGTGATAAAGCAGGTGGAGAAGGATATAATAATTGTCACTATGGGTAAAGAACACATGGGCACTCTTTGTACTATTATCCTGAGATGAAATTATTTTCAGAGAGGGGGGGCACATGCAGGCATGTATATAACATGCAGCTTCAGAGCGCCTCTGCCTTAAATTTCAGGTAAGAAAAATAAGACACCTGGATGATAAAATGTACACTATGGATCAAACAATTCAATGTTCATGAAAGCATTCCTTTAAATGGAACATCATAAATATGGAGAGGGAGTAAGGGCCTGCTGAATGGGAGAAGAAGGCTCATAGGACATTGCTCATGAATGGAGCTGTGACACATGGAGATAAGTTTGCAGAAGGATGACAGAGCAGAGAAGGGGAGAGGCATAAGCTGGAAAAGGATGTTTGGGAAACTAAAAGGGGCCCACTGAGGTGTGCATAGGGAGATGAAAGTTACTGTTAGGTCTGTGAAGGATTGGCTTTTCCAAACGTAACTGTGGTGGTTTCAATGAGAATGGCCTTCATAGGCTCATGTATTTGAATGCTCGGTCACTGGTTATTGGGCTATGTAGGAAAGGTCAGGAAGTGTGGTGTTGTTGGAGGAGATGTGTCACTGGCGGTGGGTTTTCAAAAGTTTCAAAAGCCCAGATCAGGCCTTGCTTCTTTCTCTGCTTCTAACCTGCTACTGAGATGGAAGCCCTCAGCTACTGCTCCAGCACCATGTCTGCCTGCACACCACCGTACTTCCTGCCATCATGGAAATAGATTCACCCTCTGAAACTGTAAGCCAGCCCCCAAATAACTGCTTTTCTTTTATAAGTTGCTTTAGTCATAGTGTCCCTTCACAGCAATAGAAAAGTAATCAAGACAGTAACATTTCTTCATGTTAGATCTAGAAGAAGGTAGGATTATAGGGGAATTTGATGGCCTATGAGCAATCTTCTCCCATTAGACTTTTTTTGCCCTGAATGAAATAGAAACCTCACCAAGTAATAAGCTTAGTTTCCACAATGATTAACTAGGAATGCAATTCAAAAATTTCTTACAGGTGGGAGATGGTTGGTCTGAATTGGTTTTCTTAGCAGATTGAGTACCTGAACAGGAGTAATTAGATTATTTCAAAGGGTGCTCTAGTTTTTGTGAACCTCAAGTATAATATTTAGACCCAGTAAAGACCATGTTTTCCTCCATACCCATCACTGTTTTCAACCACTTGTAGATGATGGGATTCACCACCCATATGACATTACATTTTGCTTTAGTTTCTATTACTATCTGTCTACACAACTATAATAATGCATGAAGTCTGGGTGGATTTTAATTCTTTTCATTTCTCTTTTTCTCCAAGAAATTAAAAATATGTTATGGAATAAAGCTTTAAAAGAGAAAAGAAAAAAATATAGAGAGGGAAACATTCTTCAATATGTATAACTCTGGCTGTTCTGGAACTTGTTCTGTAGATCAGGCTGGCCTCGAACTGACAGAAGGACTCTTGCCTCTGCCTCCTGAGAGCTAGGATTAGGCTGCACAAAGAAACCCTATCTCAAAACAAACAAAAACAAAACAAAAAAAAACAAAAAAGAAAAGAACAACGAAGAAAGCATGCACCACTGCAGCCTGGCTGACAAGTTTATTCCAAAGTTTTTTTTTTTTTTTGTTTTTTTTTTTTGGTTTTTTTCGAGACAGGGTTTCTCTGTGTAGCTTTGCGCCTTTCCTGGAACTCACTTGGTAGTCCATGCTGGCCTCGAACTCACAGAGATCCGCCTGGCTCTGCCTCCCGAGTGCTGGGATTAAAGGCGTGCGCCACCACCGCCCGGCCCAAAGTTTGTTTTTAATACTTTAATTATCAATAATGGCCCTCCCTTTAAAAAATGTGTAGGACTGTTTTCCTATCAAATGGCCATCGCTTATACAGGTTCAATGGGGTAAGCGAGAAGCTGAAGGAAACAGGAAGTCAGGAAGAAGAAAAAGAATCTCAAAGCAGAGTCACGAACTATGTGAGCATGTGTACAGAGAGATTAAAACAACTTGAGGTTTTTGAATAAAAGGACAAGCACTCACAAATCACTAACAGGGTAAAGAATCAGGTTCAGGGCAGACTCTGGCATGACTCACTTCCAGTATGCTTCTAGACCCTGATTGTTTCAGCTCTCACCAGCAAGGGAGGGGATCGGCAAGCCACCTCAACAGTAGAGCCTAAGAAATGTTGCCATGGCTGTGGTATACGAGTGAGGAACCTACTGTCTCTGCAGCCTATGTTCTAGCTAAAGAACAAACACTGGACTGTGGCCGCAGGGGAATCCCTGTCTCCAACATCTTCAAAGTTCTATATGAGCATGCCTACCTGGCCTAACCCAACATGTGCTGAAAATTATAGCTGCAGAAATGGTGCTTAATCAGAAGAAAAGGTTGGGGACAGATTTACTATTGGGGAAAGCAATGGCAATTTAGTTATTTCTGCTCTGTGAATGGATTGGTGTGCCACTTACACTCAGAAGGCTCAGCAGCGGCCATGGTTAAGGACCCCTGGTTTAATCAGAGCTAAGTTAACTTTTCCTGGAAAAGGTTGGTTCACTCATTGCTTAGGCTGTGTGACTCATGGTCTCCATGGTAACTAGTTCTGCTACTATAGCAAGGAAAGAGGTAATTCACAGGTGTATGAGCATGACCAGATTTGGCCCGTGGCTGCAGTTTCCAATCCTTAGTCTAGATGATTTCTTCTGTTGGAATATTATAACCCCCCAAAATGTGCTGACAGTATTGCTAACTGCTTGCCTGTTGTAGTTGTTTTTCTTGTGACTTTATTTTTTTTAATTTGGAAATACTACTTGTTACTCTAGGTTTTCTCTCTCAAATGCAGATCGTTGCTTCTAACCGTTAAATATGTATATCCAGGTGGGAAGAAAAGTGGGCAAAGACCATGATACTGGAAAGGGGCCAAGGAGACTGGAAACAAGGAGGCTTTAAGAGAAGAAGGAGGATGAGGAAGACAATTGAATCCAGTGGGAAGAGGGAGTGGTAGGAATGAAAAGGGTCCAGTGGAGGACAGCAGGGTAGAGAGATGAGGCAGTACGGTGAGGAAGAATCAACTGAGAGAAATATGTGTGAAAACCTCACACAGAAACCTGCTGCTCTGTAAGCTATTTCAAAACAAAACAACAGGACCAGTGACTCCTCCAGAAAATAAAGGGAATCTTGGCAGTAAGTTTATCTGACAATGAAATACCTGGCTTCTAGTGCTGTCAGGTTCAAAAATAAATAAAATAAATAAAGAGATCCTTAATGTGCTGTTCAACTTCCAAAACTCTTTGAGCCTGAACACTTCATTAACTCAGACATTTTCAGTGGGATGCGTGACAGATCAATGGCACCTTGCTTACGTCTTTACCCTGAAAGAGGGAAGAGAATAATCTAAAATTGCTATGTTTGAACCAAATCACAACCTTATATAAAACTGTCACATTCCATCAACATTGCCAAAAGAGGCCAGAAACAGTATCCCTTTGAGGGAAACGAATTTTTTTCATCTTGTCAACTTTAATGTTGTCCTGGAAAATCACAAGCTTATTTTCCCACATAGTCACACACACCAACTATCATTCTTAGATTATTAGCAAGGACGCCATTTACCTTCTTTGGGAAGGTCAACCAGTTTGCATGAATTTATGGTCATATTTTAATTACACAATATTCAAGGTTCTTAATACGGAACTCCAGAGCAAACATGTTTAGACCAAGGAATGCCTGATGCCCTCACCCATGTTAGTCTTAGTTCATTTACCCAACTTGTAAGGTCAGTGAGGAGGCCAGGAGACAAGGCAGAGGGTGACCTCTGACAATGCATGCATTTTGGGGGTGGGGGAAGTATTTGTCAGGGTTCTCTAGAGTCACAGAGCTTATGGAATGAATCTCTCATATATATGGAAACTTATTAGAATGACTTACAGGCCACAAGTCCAACTAATCCAATAATGGCTGGCTGTGAACAGAAAGTCCAAGAATCTAGTAGTTGCCCAGTCCCACAAGGCTGGGTGTCTCAGCTGGTCTTCTGTATATGCTGGAATCCTGAAGAAGTAGGCTGCAATGCCAGTGAAGGAATGGATGTCTAGCGAGACGAGGACAAGCAAGTGAAGAATAAAACGTTTCTTCTTCCATGTCCTTATATAGGCTGCCAGAAGAAGGTGTGGCCCAGATTAAAGGTATGTCTTCTCGCCTCAATATCTGGACAGAGGTGTGTCTTCCTACCTCAAAGATCCAGACTGGATGTGGATTCACCCACTTCAAACCAAGCAGAGTATCTCTCACAGCTGTGCCCTCCATTTCCGGATTGTAGTTCATTCCAGGTATAGTAAAGTTGACAACCAAGAATAGGCATCACAGGGAACCTGCAAAGGACATCACTGCATCAATCAGTCTATCATCTGCTTACAGTTTATGGTAGTTACAGGGCAGAAAGTGTCAGAGAAGGGGATAGAAACATCCCTGGGTTCACAGTTGGCCACTGCTAGGAATACCAGTGAGTGCTCAATCAAAGGATGTCAGGTGATGGACACATCTCATTACTGGAGCATTACTAGCAGTCCATGGTTCTGAGGAAGGCAGGAATCCAGAGAAACAAGCTGCTTTAGTTGCAGGGATCAATAGCTTTAGTTTCTGCAATCATCATTACCAAATGCCGTGTCCATGGCTAACACCGATTAGGAATTTTGCAACACAACAGAGATTCTGGAATCAGTTGTGTTTCTGAGATGGAGTAGACATGAACTTATGAAGGGCCACCCTGTCTTTGTAGGATGAGAAACTGAGGTACACAGAGGTGAACTTACATAGTGTCACGGTATGAGGGTCGTCTGAATGTTCCTAAAGGTCCTTAGTGATCATCGGCTATGGTGATCGCTAGGAAAGTCCTGAAACCTTCGAGAAGTATGACTTAGAGTTAGCTCTTTATGTCACCAAGGGATTGAAGTAGAATCATGAAATTCTTGTGAGAGAAATTTATTAAAAGGAACAAACTTGGCCCTACCTGCTGCCTTTTAATCTGAGATGTCATTTGATTGCCCACCACTGTCCACCTATACTAACAACATGTGCTTGAACTCCCCCAGGTGTGGTTCAAATAATCCTTTCTGTATATAAAACTATATGCCTTAGATATTTCATTATGCTTATGGAAATCTAACATACATAACTTCTTGGTAGAGTTCAAGACCAAATATCTAGGCATTCATTGGTTAAATCTTCTAAAAAATAGTTGTTTAAATACAACAAACAACTTCAGAAGTGTTTTAAAAATATGAAGGAGTGAGAGAAAAGTACACTTACTTGTTTTAAAGACTTTGATTAAAACTCAGTTTTCAACATAAGCTGTTCACTTTTCTCTTGTAGACATCAGGTGGGTAATTAAACTTCAAGTCAATATAGATTGCTCATGCATGGTTTTGCAATGTGTCCCCTGTCTGAGTACTTCATTATATGCAAATGACCAGGTGTCTGCAACAATAAATAAAGCCTCAAAAGTAATACTTCAAACATAAAACCAAAGCATAGGGCTAAGAGGCTGTTGTCTTTTTATGGGGTATATGGACAAATAAAAAGTTCCTGTTTGTAGGAAAACAGTCCTCATGTCTTACTGACACCCAACCACCCACTGTGGAGTGACTTTCATGTCTGTCACCACTGGGGTTGACATGACTCATGCTCTGAGCATCAGTAAGGGAGGACTCTACCCTGGCTGTCCTCTTCCCTGAAGGGGGTTCTTGCCAACTTCTTTGGGCTGAACATTTGAGAAAGGATCTTGTCAGCAAAATCTGGGAACTGGTTATCTTGGTAAGTAATGGGAACATCTTGTCTCAGGAGAGGAGATTGATGTTACCTCTGTGCGGTGGACTCTTGATGTCTGGAGAAAATTTAATACCAGAGGCCAAAGTTTCAGTAATGTTTCTTTGAGAAAGCAGAGTTTGTTTGGAAATTTGAACCACAGAAACATGTGGTGCAGGATAGAAAAATCATCCCTTATCACAGAGCAGAAAGAGATCTAACTTCTGTTGTATTAAAAGGTTATAGTTTTTCTTAAATGGAGACAGTGTACACTTGTGTAATTAGATGTGTCTAGCAAATCTGGGGAAAATACAGAAATATCACCAACATTTAAAAGAATGTCCTTGAGAGATGAGCATGAAATATATCTAATATAATGTTTATCAAATGAATATAAATAGAATATATTATATAATATATATGACATAAAAATGGGTCAACAAACCAGAAACATTTTTTTCTCAGAAAAAGTTGGGAAACTAAAACTTAAAACTTTAGAGATACATGAGATTTGGGGTGATTTATTTTACTAGAATTAAAAGGAATGGTAGCCTAGGGTTTTGTTTTTGTTTTGTTTTTTTTTTTTTTTTTTTTTGGTTTTTTTCGAGACAGGGCTTCTCTGTGTAGCTTTGCGCCTTTCCTGGAACTCGCTTTGGAGACCAGGCTGGCCTCGAACTCACAGAGATCCGCCTGGCTCTGCCTCCCGAGTGCTGGGATTAAAGGCGTGCGCCACCACCGCCCGGCTTGTTTTGTTTTTTTAAACTGGGAAAACTTTCCTCTTTTAATTGAATATTTTGCAAGAAAGAATATTATCATAGGACTTCACAAAATCTATATGAACCTAAGAATTTATGAATAAGTTTAGAGATATCCACAATACCATCTGGTGGCTCATTTATATGTATTAAAATGGTGTCAAATTCTAAGAATGGAACAAAGAAACAAAACCGAAAGGCCGATCTGAAATACAGAGTTTTCAAGAAAGTGAGAAGTTGACCTCTAACTCAAGTCTGAGGACTGCACATAGCTCCCCCTCCACCTCTTCCTCAAATTACAGTGGCACTAAGTACAAATAGTAATGGTAGCAATGGCAACGAAGAAGTGAGACAATCAGAAATCCTGAATTTGTGGAAGATACAACAAAACTGTATGATATCATAGCTAATAAATATCAAAATGAGGATATTTTCAAACAGTCAAGGAATCTGCCAACATTCTTCCCATAGGAAAATACTGCTTTAGGAAACAGTTGGGCAAGCCAGGAAGGGAACTGGGAAACGAGAGGCAGTGTGTTCAGACTCACGGACACAAGGGAGGTAGTTAGAAATGAATTGAAAGAAATGCCAGCATAAGCTCTGTGCAGCAGCCGCAGAGGGAACAGAGTTCACAGTGCCTCTGGGCTGGTTGTCTCCAAGAAGGCAAGACATCAGAGGACACAACACAGGTGTTTTAAATAGCCAGGTGGAGACCACCCTTTTTAACAAGGCAAAAAGAAACTTTCCATGGAGAAGAGAAGGCTGGGAAGAACGTCAAGATTTGTAAATTAAGAAAGTAAAATGGATATCAAGAAAACAAATTACCCAATTAAAAAATGGGACACAGATTTAAATGGGGAATTCTCAACAGAGGAAATGCAAATGGCTGAGAAGTACTTAAAGAAATCCTTAACATCCTTAGCCATCAGGGAAATTCAAATAAAAACCACTTTGAGGTTTTATCCTACGCATGTCAGAATGGCCAAGATCAACAAAACAAGTGGTAGCTTATGCTGGAGAGGATGTGGAGCAAGGGAAACACTCCTCCATTGCTGGTGGGCCTGCAAACTTGTACAGCTACTATGGAAATCAATGTGGCAGTTCCTCAGGAAGATGGGAATCAATCTACCCCAAGATCCAGCTGTACCATTCTTGGGCATATCCCAAAGGATGCTTCATCCTATCTCAGAGATACTTGCTCAACCATGTTCATTACTGCTCTATTCATAAAAGCCAGAAATTGGAAACAACTGAGATGTTCCTCAACAAAGGAATGGATAAAGAAAATGTGGTACATTTACACAATGGAATTACTTAGCTGTTAAAAAAAATGACATTATGAATTTTGCAAGCAAATAGATAGAACTAGAAAAAAATCATCCTGAGTGAAGCATCCCAGACCCAGAAAGACAAATATGTATTTGCTTATATTTCAATATTAGCTGTTAAGCCAATTATAACTAAGCTACAACCCATAGAACCGCAGAGGGTAGGCATAGAGTAAGGAACCAGAGAGAACAGATAGGTCTCATTAGGAAAGGGAAATAGAAGAGATAATAGTTATGGATGGACAGGTGGGGACTGTAATGGAAGGATCAAGTAGGGACAGAGAACGGGGATGTGGGAGGGAATACAGGGAGAGACAGTTAAAATGGGGGGGCATTTGAGGGGTAGTATGGAAACCTAATACAGTAGAAACTTCCTAAAATATATACAACACATGAAAGTAACCTAAATAAAATTGTCAAATAATTGGGGGCAGGGCATGGACAGAGTCCCAACTGGCCATCTCTTCAAAGCTTCTAGTACTGGAAATGGGTTGTACCTATTTGAGTTGTTGGCCAAAAGAGCCCCACAGGAATTCTCAAACAAACCAGGCTATTGCCAAGACTATAAAGTTGCTCTCCAGAAACTGACAGTGAGGCCCTATTGTTGAAAACACCACTTACACAATTCATTGAACTTGGAGATGTCAAGCATGTGCCCACATGAAGCCCCCACCCCTACTTCCCAGCACCTTTGGTACAGGAAAGAACTCTGCACACTCCCAAAAGGGAAATGTAAATGCCAAGCTAGCCGCAAAGCCTTTGATCTACAGTGGTGAGCTGCCTGCAAGATATGCTGGGGCAAGGGTGGCACAAGCTTACAGGAGTAACCAACCAATACCTGATCTGACTTAGGGTCCACTCCATGAGATGGAATCCATACCCAACACTGCTTGGGTGACCATGAGACTAGATAGCCTAAGAACCTAAAACCAAATAATACACAAGGTAAAACCAAATAATACTGGGTTAAAAAAATGAAAGTAAAATATAGTATGATTATGGGTATACATAGTATAAGAAGAGACTTAACATTATCTTAGTAGTTCATATATTCTCTTTGGAAAAGTGTAAGCATGGCTACATGGTTGTATTTTCTTCTTAATGAATCCAGTCACAGAGCATCATTTTAAAATGTAAGAATTCCTTACATAGTGCAGTATAAACTCTTTGAAGGTTAGAATAGGTTCTGTCTTGTATCTCTATAATGGTAGGCCAGCAGTTGGCATATCACAGACACTCAGCAACTAGAGTCAGTCTGCATGATTTTGGCAGTGGGAATTGCTTATAAAATAGAGATTGCACATCGGCCCTGCACCTACTATACAGTAATTTGAAAGTCAGATCTGAGCATGTGATGGCTAATTTTGGCTGTCAACTTGACTGCATATGGAACCAGTAAAAATATAAGCTGCTGGGTACTCCTGTGAGGGCTTTTTATCAGAT